ATTTCTAACAAGATTGAACTTTGACATTTTTATGTAACTGAAGACAGAAGCATAAGCCATGAACATGGTTGCAGCTGCAATTTTATATGGTCTTGCGTTTCCCTTTAATATATTATACCATCCGTGGCAAATTGCAAAATGATCTATGTTTGGAATTGCTTGCCATAACTTCATAAGTGTATGAGCCCAAGAAAATAATTCTACAAAATTTATGTATTTCTCTGTGAATTTAGCATATTTTAAGATAAAACCATTACTGTTTCTGCAATTGCAAATTATATATGGCTGAAAACCGTAAATAACAGCGATTGTCCATATTGGTCTCATGATGCAACTTATGCAAGTTTGGCTATTTTGGTTCTGCATATTTAATTAATCGATTTCCAATAGATGTAATAGCAGAGTTGTACTTTAATGTCGTAGCTATAGTGTTTATAATAGAAGACGTGTATTAAAGAACGTCTTGTTATAGTAGTCTCGTGAATAATTTAAAGCTCGCAAATAGGAAATTCTAATGAGCCACACGTGCTTGAGTTAATTGTTATTGGTGGTTGAAAGCATTCTAAAACTTTTAATTTATGCATATTTTATAGAATTTAATTATAAATTCCTACTATTACATAGTAAAGATTATAATTTATGTTTGAACTTGCTATCTCTTCTAAACTATTTTAAAATGACTCTTTATTAGCATTTTTTGCAATTAATGCTTTAGAGAACACTGTTTATACATATATAAAATACATACAGGAGATTTTTGCCATATTTCATTAGCATTCCCATGTTAATAAATGTGATTTTTTCTTATAAAAAAAGATTCTGTAACCAATAATAATTTTACATAATTATTCCCTATATTGGGAGCAGAAGGTGGTTGATTTTTCTGTTATTGGGTCAAAAACCCCATTAAAATAAAACTGATATTAAACTCTGTGTATATATTGTCTACTTGAACCTTGTTTATTAATAGGACTTATTATACTGGTATAGATTCTGATTAGCACAGACAGGAGGAAATAAACAAACAAAGTCAAAACAAAATAAATTATTTCGTTTTGACTTTTAAAAAGATCTCCTCTCTTTGCTAATCAAAAACTACACCAGTATAATTAGGTCCTATTAACAATGAACACTTATCGTATATAAAAAAATAGTAAATAGGTTAGATTAGGTTTGGTAAAATAGGGTTCCATTGAACTTCAATAAGCCCTAGGCCCCGAAAAACATAGATCTGCACCTGTTCTGTGTATATATTGTGTACTTGGACCTTGTTTATTAATAAAAGAATATTAAAATTTATGATAATAAATTAATTTCTATGGGCCCCTTGACAATTGGTGGCCCAGGACTTAAGCTCTATTATTCCCTATGTAGATCCGCCCCTGACACGCACAGAAATGTAAAACAGTAAAGACATAGAAGTAAAACGAATTGGTACTCAAATAATGACAAGCCAGTATCCAAAGAATGGCCCACGGGTACCTTCTGTGAATCTTGTGTATTTTGAATGAAATTACGCATTTTGACTTGAAGTTCCCGTGACTGATAGACTACATCAATGGCGCCCAAACTTTTCGCTTGGTGGACCAAATTGAACATAAGTTGTATGCAGGCAAGCCACAAATATTTTGCTTATTCCATATAATCGAAAACTAAGCTTATTTGTGGCATCAAATATGTTTGTGGGCCTGATATGATCCGAGGACCGTTATTTGGGCACCAGTGGACTACATCATTGGGTTACTCGTTGTTTCATAAATAGCATTGTGCATTCAGGTGTGTTATTAACTTATAATTACGTGATTATTGTTAATCTGGTAAAACGGATAATTTGTCAAAGCTGTAATACCAAAGGTAGAGAAAAATCGATGGTGTAATTGTATGCATCATTCCAGGGTTAACACAATTGCAAGTGAAATTTCAGAACATGCAGAAGACATTTTTGCAAAAACAATTAGTATCAAATCACAACACTGGCAATTTTGGTGTTGCGAACAACAAACATTTCATTTTTATCAGCTATTCCATGTTATACAGAGACCTTAGAGATGAAGTAGAAGCTGCTTAATATGGCCCCTGCTTTGAAAGCAAAATACCCGAACACAATGAACAGTGCATCCAACAGTCAACCATATTTCATCTCCTGTGATGTTTCTCACATCAGGGACAGATCTACATAGGGACTAATAGGGCTTGACTGGGTCCCCAAGTGTCAAGGGTTCACAAAAATTGTATTATTGTCATAAATTTTTAATAATTTTTAATCTTTTTCATTAATAATGAGCACTTATCATATAGTAAAAAATAGTTAATAGGTTAGATTAGGTTTGGTTAGGTTTGGTAAAATTAGTAAAAATGGTAAAATGGGGTTCCATTGAACTTCAGCCCTAGGCTCCGAAAAACCTAGATCTGCTCATGAGTGTAATGCCGTCTTGAAAGACTGCTAAATTTTCAGCATGGTCTTCGTCTGATTTTTATGTTAATGGGATCACTTAAATATTCATAAATACAAATACAGAGTGGTTCCAAAATATGGAGAAAAGTTTGGTTCATGATGCCTGCCAAGACAAGAAACAAGAATACTCCTGTAACCATACGTCAGGAAATGAATAGTTAACACACAATAAAGGCAGCATTCACACAGTTGTTCAAGAACAATGTGTGAATGTTTTTAATGTATATTAACTATAACATATGTTATACAAGCATTTTTGATCTTGTCTTGGCAGGAGTCACCACCCGCATATTTCACAACCACCCTGTATAACCATCATTATTCGTAGTATCTATCACAAAGAGAAGAACAAAGATACTCAATATTACTATCAACATTTACTAATAGACTTGTGTGATTTTTCTGTGAGTACAGCTCGATAAGATGTGAATTTTGATATACTTTCCAGTTGTTTTTCCATAACAAAGCCATTTTCTTCCATTCAGAAAGATAAAACGGCAATGTTATCTTTCTTAAATTTCACCTTTATTACTTACTAATGGCAAGATGAGTAGGAAGCAATGTACGAATTATCTAATTATTAAAATTATAGTTTTTTCATTTTATTTAATCTCTCGCCGTGAAAACACTAAAAGGGTTTTTTTGGATCCAGTTACTGTCACATCCTTTATACTCCACCGATTTGACCCTTTTGACTATCACCTGTTTTTCAGCCTTAAAGGAAACCTTCCACAGACATCATTTCATAGACTCCGAAGAACTGAAAGCAGCTGTCCAGGAGTGTGTGTCACACGTTCCCAAAAAGTGGTTATGAGGACCTGGAGAGGTTACCACACCAATGGCATTAGTGCAAGCACCTGAAGAGAGACTATATTGACAAGATGGACCTACCTGCCGAATTATAATGATTTGTTTGTGTCGAAAAAAATAAATTGTAAATCAACATTATACGCACCTCCAGAGCCGTAACTAGGCAGTTGCAACAGGTGCAACAGGTGCACCGGCACAGGGACCATTTGGAAGGGAGCCCAAACTTCTGTTCACAAGAAATTATATTTTTAAATTTTAAATTTTTCGCCTTTCTTCAGCGCGGCTTTTTTTCTTTCTTCTTCTTCGATGGTGTTTTATATGGAGATTATAGCTCAGTGTAGGCTCTTTCTCCGAGTAGACTTGTGTGTGTGTATGATCGCTAGGCGACCGATTAGCCGGCTGTATCGAACAGCCATACGTACGCGCGGGAAATAAGTGCCTTCCGGGAGGACTTTTATGGGGAACTGGCCTCCTATTCAGTCGTTATAGGCAAGGAGAAAACCCGGAAAACTCCAAGCAGCCAGCCTGTCCGACCGTGGCGCGAACCCACGACGAACCTCCCAGTCTTTAGGGTCTGGTCACCACTACGATGAGCGGCAACGGAGATCACTCGCCCACTGGTGGGGGCCAGCGCGGCTTGGCGATTACATTTCGCTTTAAGTACTTAGACCCTAGATGTCTGCTCACCAGTGTTCCCAACTGTGGCGACCTTTAGAAGGACGTAGTGAGGTAGCGGAGACCTCAGACAAATCAGCCAAAAGTAGCGACTTTTGATATTTTTAATTTATTTTTTGAGAAATTTAAATTTATGTTTATAGTTTTCAAATTTACAGATTTTTCTCTACTTTATAGAGCTTTCTGGCAACGACTAATATTATTACGATATACAAACTGTATTTCTAGATTTTTCCACAGTGTACAGAGCTAGAAATCTGTAAAGGTAACATTTTGTAACAAAAATAAATCTGCCCGAGGATTTTTTTTAAATTACTCAATTGAAAACGGTAACTCCCGAATAAAATCTTAGTCTCGAGGTTGTGAAAGGCGTGCAGAAATTCTGATATCAATTTTTGCTTTACAGTGGTACGCATATGTGGTGTAGCCTATATCTGAACGGCGGATTAAGCGGTAAGCGAACTATGCGGGCGCGTAGGGCCCCGAAGGAGCTCCCGCAGTCTTTAAAATACTACTGAAAAATACAAAATATAGAAACTGCATCTCCACTTAATATTCTACAGGCTCTTCATGATTTTGGTTTAATTGATTCTTACCCAAATATCAATGTCGCTCTTCGAATATTCCTAACTCTTCCCGTTTCTATTGCTTCGTGCGAGAGAAGTTTTAGCATGTTAAACTTAATAAAAAAATTATTTAAGATCAACTATCGGGCAAGAACGATTGTCCAATATTTCTATTATTTCAATAGAATACAATATCGTTAAAAATATTAATTAAGATGGTGCAATTAATGAATTTGCTAAAATGAAAGCCAGAAAAATTGAATTAAAATAAATCTTATTAAAAATCTATTGTAATGCATTTGTTTTATTATTTTCCCAAAACCAAATAAATTAAGGGGCCTAAATGCAAATTCTTGCACAGGGCACAGGAATGGCTAGTTACGGCTCTGCGCCCCTCTATCAAGTAAATTACTGACCACAGGATTTTATAAGAACGTAATTCACTAATTGAGAATACAGTTATAATACAGAAATAAACTGACAACTGAATTTTTATTTTAAAAATTTTAATTAAAATATCAAAATATAAAAGCATTATTTTATTACATTGATTTTTGGCATGTTTAAGTTTGATTTGTAAACTTCATTATGCACATTCAACCTGTAAAAATGAAACAATTCTACATTAATAAAAAAGAATGGTATAATGTAAAAACTATTTTCAATTTTTACTAATGAAATGTTTCAATACAGAACAGTTCTGAAATTAATAAAACTTAAATAAGCTGGGTGGCTGTGCAGTAAGGTTTCCACTTATCGCCATGAGGGGTGAAAGTTCAAACCGGTTTCCGATCCTTCAAAATTTATCCTGCTATCATATAATTCTCCATCTCTCACCCATGGTTGGCCCCATTGCGAGTCAAACTGACCATAATACTTTTAGATTCCCAAATAGCTTACAGATACCCAGTGCCTTGGAATGATTCATAAAGCTAAATTATACTAACTATCCTAAAAAATGTACAGACAAAATTTGCATTTTAAAACAAGGAGTCATAGGATGGCTGTAGCGGTTTCAAATAGATGGCGCTATTATGGACTGAAATGGGTCAAACTTTATTTTATTAAGTGGTAACCGTCCATTTCTAATTAAATATTACGATTCTACATCAAAAACAAACTTTTATCTAAACCATTTTTTTCCGAAAGAGCACTTATGGAATCGTTTATTTTCTTCAAATAATGAACTGATAGCATGCTGTGTCACCAGCTTTGTAAGGTGATCTTACGTAAGCTTGTGATAAAGAGAAGAGATTGATCTTGATTCCACCAAATTATAATAGTTTCATAATGATTTTCTAAAGCAGTTTTCTTCTTTTATTCAATGAACTTCGCAGCTATCCATAAATTTACGTATGTGCAGTGTGGCAGCCATTTATAACTTTGAGCGCCCATAACTTCTGATAAATGCATCTCTTGAAATAATGTTCAGACAAATTTTGTCTGAGCACTAATATCTTTTTTCTTATAAATGCAAATTTCACGAAACATTCCATGTATTACCTAAATTGGATCCCTGTATAATCCAAAATTTAAAGAATTCAGTCGTCAATTAATTGACTCATATATTTGAGTTTGTCATGTTAAACTTTAATAAATAAAGCTCAAAGTTATAAAAGCTTAATATAGAATTTTTCACATGGCATGGCACTTAGTTGAAGTATTTAAATAGATTTTTGATGCATTACAATCGCTAAATAATGACTGTCTGGAATTCAATGTTAATTCCTGGAATGTGAATGAGTGTATCATTATCGATAATCGAAATCCCTCAATAATAATATTAAATCAAAAATAATGATTTTTCACTTAACGTTTTCGTGTATAAGGAACAATGCACAATGAGAAAGTTTTGAAAAATTAAGAAACAATCAATATTTTTAAAAATGTTTTCCTTTTTCACAGTAAGTTCGCCATGAAATTAACACAGAATAGAATTTTTCTGTGCTTCTTTACTACACTTCTACATTAATTACACTGCATAAACAATTATTATCTCTTTGTTACTTGTTAGAATCTTCTGTTTTCTCTAATTTCTCAAACAACAAAACACTGCCTGAAAATTTAAACGTCATAAACACAATCAGTTCATTACTGTAGACCCTACAGTAATGAAGCATTGATGAACTGATTTTATTTATGCGTTTATATGCCTCAATCTTTACGAAAATTATTTCTATTATTATTTTATATTTAGTATCGTAGCCTACAGTTTGGGCTAAAATGCTAAATATACACATGTATATGCTAATATTGATATGATGTTATGTGTAATAAATAAAATTTGCGTTGATCTTTCGAAGGGAAAATGAGTTAATTTCTAAGTAGATGAAAGTTCTTACCTCTTGAAAATGTTAATCGTTTATCATCAAAGATTATCACACTTAGCAAAACAGTGAAAACACTAGTTCAAATTGAATATAACTGTTCAGATGCAAATTTTCTATTGTTTTTAATATTCCTGAATTTGTCAGTCTGCTTGGCTGTTATAAAAAATGGCAAAAATCACGTCCACATAATGTAAATCATGTCTGCGTTACAATCATTCCAATAAAAAGCAATTTTTATTTGAAGAGATCTATGAATGTAGATAGCCTTCTACAATTCTTCAAAGGTCGTCTGTTGTGCATATTTTTATTATATATGTGTAACATAAAATACAAAACGGAAATCGTAGTCACCATTTCATTGTACACAGTGTTCGAAAAGATTGAAACGTACGCTAAGTTTTCTTTGTTGCTTGTACTCTTATTTACAAAATGATGCAAGTGTTCATTCGGATGCCTCTGTATAATGTCACATATTGCAATCTTTCGATCAATGGTACAAATATATATGGTGTTATAAATTTCAATACGCTGGAAAAATCCGAAAAAAAAAATGATACAGTTGCATTAAAAATACGCAGAGTTTCATGATGAACAACACGTGGAGTCAAATTGTAAAAGAAAGTAGAATAAAATAAACAGAACAAGTATAGTGTAAATCCCATTGGGTCCAGGCGTTTATGTCTCAATCATTATGAAAATTATTTCTATTACAATTTTCACGTGTTGTAATATCTTCAGGATTTTTTCATTTGAACTATAGTTGAATAAATTCATGCAATAATAATGGCGTATGCTTCTCATAATATACTTGAAATTTTTAAAAATAAAGCATTGTAAAAACTTTTAATAATTATTATCGGAAAAAAGAATATNAAATTTACATACTTAAGTACTAATAGTTCACGAAAATAACAATTTTCGTGAACTATTATTAGTTAAGTATGTAAAAATTTATTACATTTCCTGTTGTACGAGGGTTTTACCCAATTCTCGAATCGTGTCAGAGTGAATCCGTGCTATAAAAGTACCGTGTTATACGGGGGTTACCTGTAATTTTAATAATTAGCTAGTTATGCAGTCTCAATAAAATTTACATTAGAATTACTATTTACCTTTAGTGATGTAATAGGGAGAGACTTCTAAACCCACGATAGGACCAACAATACTTAACCATGATACCAAGTAATTGAAACTGAAAAACAAAAAAATCATTGTTTAGTAAATATACAAAGCAATTCAAAACATCTCTGCAACTTTCAAAGCGTTTAGAATTTTTAACAGAAAACATGGAATAGGTAGCAAAACAGATTAAGTTTATCTCACTATAGTACTCAAAGTATCAGGTTGTATTTCGAAATGGCTTTTGTTGCTGGTTTGGAATGTGCATATTGCGGATTTTAGTTCGAAGAAACAAAATCCGCAACAACTGTTTAATGGATTTTTCTTAACCAAAATCGTAGAAATCTAAGACACAATTTACTCTTATCACTGAAATTTTGTTGTGAGTTGGTGTTCTGTGTGCCATGACAAATTCATTAGTCACTTGCGTGTTTCTGGTTTTGTTGTGGAGCAAGCGAGGGCCAGCTTCGTTCATAGTCCTCAGAAATCAACGAAAAGTATGCCATTTCGAAACAATCGTTTTACAACTTTTATGAAAATGTTTGCAATTCTGCAAAACAAATTCTATTGCAAATAAGCTGGCTACTCAGGAACAGGAACTCTGGAGAAATGTCGCATATTGGATTGAAAAGAGAAGACATTCCTGGATATTAATATTTTCAGTAATTATTCGACATTTCATCTCACTGCTTCAATGAACACTCGTAATTGCGAATTTGGGACTTTGAAGATTCACTAGCAACAGTGAAACATGTTCCTGACAATCCAAAAATAAATAAGTTTTGCACTCTTGGCAAAGATAAAAGTGTATGTTCTTTTTTTCTAATAATGGTACCATTGATGGTATAATGTGTCTGAATATAATAAAAATACTATCGATTTCACATTTGAACAATGGCCTAGAACAACGCCACCTTATGTAATTGACCAAAATAAAATTTAATTAAAGACCTTCTGACCGATTACAAAAGGTGCTAGGCTATCTCTCCGAGAAATCTTCGTTCAAACCCAGTCGAGTCCTATTATATCTTGGATATCGATCGAGACGTTATTATACTGCTAATAAACCTAATTTGTGATCAGGCCTGACTACAATGAGCGATATTAGTTTACGATGTAAACTGTCCAGATTGTGTAATGAAAATCACCCAATAACAGGCCTGAAAAGCCTGAGGTCGGCCAGAAGAGAGGACAGAAATGACTTACCCAGCATTTCATCCACCTAAAAATCCGTGTGGACTGTAGCAGTTTCTATAACTGGGTTCAGCAGCTGCCATACCACGCAGAAACCTATAGTGAGCAGCTACCTCAACTATAGTTGAAGTCCCATAAACTACCAAACTCGTGAAAATCTAGGCAGTCACAAGCCCCCAAAGCTATACATCTGTCTGGATGACTAGATTACGATGTGTTAATGCCTTCTGCTAATTAGGAAATTACTTGACTTCCTTCATTTTGTCCATCACCAAGTTATTCACTTTGCATGCTTGGCCAAATCCACAATGGATATGAAAGGTCCTCTTACAGCCCATAAGCGAAAAAAAGAGTAAAAAATAATTGAAAATGAGGGAATAATATATTAGCTATTAATCCTTTACGCGGCTTTACGCGGGAATAACATATTAGCTATTAATCCTTTACGCGGTTGTATACATTGCAATATTCGAATGTACAAAGTGGGCCTTCTGTTCCTCTAAAATATCAAAAATTTATTCAGGCCTTCTGGTTTTAAAACTAGATCCTCTATAGTCTAGGGCAAACAGCTAATACTTTCATCACTTTAACCTTAAAAATTACTCTATAAATACGCAAGCAATCGTATAATACATAAAATAAATACTCACCTTTCTTGTTTCTCGGCAACCGACAAAACATTTTTCATTAATTCTGATGTATGACAAGGATGTATAGTAAAAAAGGGCCTTCCTAAAATGGGATGTTCCTAGAAAAATGTGACGACATATTTCATCCATAGTTAGTGTTTTAATAAGAGGAAGCAGAAACAAAATATAGCTACTTGCTGAGATAACATGGTCCAGCGCTGGTTTTTCAATTGATCCTGATAATATTTTGGTACGCGAGACCAAATTTCTTCCAATAATAGCGTTGAACCATCTGAAAAATTTGATATGACACTTATATATTCTGAACCTATAGTTTCTAATTATAAGGGTTATTATGTAGTTACCTTCTTTCCATGCAGTAAAATACATAACAGGTACTGCATAGCTAAGACTGTATACAATATGATATTCGTAAGTGACAATACTGTCGTTTACCTCAGAGAAATCAGTCTAAAATGTACAAAATGTATAAAAGATTTTAAAAGTTATTATTATAGTGTCTTTTACAATATATTTTTATAATATTTTTGCTTATAAAAATAATTTTAATCCTACTGGATAAAAGATGGCGACAAAAGTAAATTCCTTACCGCCATCTGTTATCGTAAAAAAGAACGAAATATACTAACTTGATTATCATCACTATTTAAATTTCCTTTATCTAAATTTTCCATTTTTCTAATAGTTTTAACAAGATATGAGTATCCGTCTTCTTCCTTTAATTTAAAAATTTATATATTAAAAGAAAATAAATAAAGAAATCAGAATTTTAGTCGAATGTTAGTCCAAAAAGAAAATCGTTTAAAAAAATAACCGATTAATTAAACACTAAAAAAATAAATAGAATAAAATACAATTTATTCAGATAAATTCAATAATAAAATATTTCGTCTACATTAAATGTAAAATAATTTAGATAAATTTTATTTATTAATTCATTCAAAAGATGGCAGCACCTATATTCGTATATTTAATTGATTTTCTTTATTAAATTTTATTAATGTAATTGTAACGTAAAAGTGTTTAAAAATTTAATTAAATATACATCAATTTTTTAACTATATTAAATTTTTCAAATATTAAATAAAAACTAAATTAATTTTTATAAATTAAATTTCTTAAATATTGATTAAAAGTGGGGTATGAAAATAAAAAAATTGTATTACTTTGAATTAAAAGATGAAATTAAAAATATTCCTTATAAAATATAAGAAAAATTCGATATGGCTTCCTGAATAGAAATTTTTAAAAATTTTCATTTCCGCTTGACAAATATTTTCTGCATTTCCTGTTTAAATTCCACTACAAAAACGGGGCAAATAAATTTTTAACTGGAAAAAAAGTTATTTTTCTTCTTAAAATTTCCCTTTTTCTTCAATTCTTATTTAATTTCAAATTAATTAATAAATGATTTTTTTAAATTTATACCAAACTTCAATTCATTATGTACCTCTTTTTTTTTAAATAATAATTATTAAAAAACTTATTTAAAATTTTAAATAAACAATAAATTTTTAAAATAATTTCATTAATTATTCCTTTAAATTTCATAAATTATTCTTTAAAATTAAGAAAACACGTTGTGACCTCAATCATTGGGAAAGTGCGAATGTTTAATATTTCCGCCGCGCGATGGCACCAGCGTAGGAAATTATATAATGGTCACGAGGTTAAGCTTTTTTTAAATTAATAAATAAAATTATTATTCTTTAGAAAAAATCAAATTGGCAACACTTACGTAACCTCGAATGATAATTTTTTTNTGGTTACTAGCAATTTAAATTTTAAAAAGTTAAAATTTAGGATTCGTAGAACAGATCAAAAACTGCTTTGCCATTCGGAGTGACAAGTCGGCGCTGGTTGAAACCATTATTTCAGTCTACATTACTTATACATGACTTCCCGCCTCTCCTTCTTGTGGATTGGAGACTGGAGAGGTCAAGGTCTTTCGACGAAAATTGTTCTCTCCCAGTCTTGTCCTCAGCACTAATTGATGGTGTCAATGCTAAAGATGAATGCAAAGGTCAAGCCATTCGAGTGCTCTGCACTAAGACAGCATAACACCGATTCCGAAGGAAAAAATAAAAAAATAAAAAAAGAATATAAGAAAGAAAAAAAAAATTGGAGAACAAACACCAAGCGAAACCGTAAACCATTTCGGATAAGAAAACGTCACTGGAATAGAAATTTCTCTTCGATAATTTTTATTTATTTATTTATTTTTATATCTAGATATGGAGCCGCTATTACTCGATTATTGCATACTCGCATCGAACCTAATATGGTTTATTGAAAGATTAATTTCTAACTTGTGACAATCTGCGGCTTTCGCCAATTAATTTCCGTGCTAGGAAATTCCATTGAGTACATATATTTCGCTTTGTACACGCGTGGAACATAAACTTATACATAGATTTTTCGGTATTTAAAAAAAGAAACAAAAAGGAAGCGGAGAGGAGGAGGAGGGTGGGAATATTTTTATTTTTGAAAAATCTTTATCGTTTTATTGCCAAAGGTCAAAATGTCAAATCGTATTTTTGTTAGCTCGCTTTTGTGTTTTGCTATTATTTTTGTTTGGCAGGTGGCTTTCTGCTCTTGACACATCATCTCCCGAAATTCATTGATGAATACTCTTAATGGAGCTCATTCACTATTTACAAAACTTTTAACTCGAAATTAATTAGCATCATGTGTATCTAAATAAACGTCGTACAAAATTACAACGAGAAAAAGTTTACCAAACTTTTTATATTTACCGAATTTTATTATAAAACCGAAAACATTAAGCATAAATTCCCAGTTAACACACATTTTACAACGATTATCCGAAAATATAATCTATAAAACGCCAACAACCGATAGCGATAACGGAAAAAAAATTCAAATATAACGATTCGACCAATCAGAGTAATTAAAACGTTTTTTTTTTTTTAATTTCAAATATTTAAAAATTCAAAAACAAAATTTCCTTGCTCCGAATGGCTCTTTAAAATCTATTGCGTAACAATAATATCCATAACGACAACCAATAGTCGAAATTAAATAATTTTAAAATTTAAACTGACCAATAAACTGTTTTTATTTTTTTATTACGAAACAAATTCCTCAATGTTAACTGGTTTAATTATTAATACCACGATAAATTAACCAATTATTTTTCGAGGGGGAAAATTTTTAAAATTCGTATAAACGAACTAATAAAACGAACGGAAATTTGATTTTTAATGCTGAAAAATTATTTAAATATAATAAATAATAAAAAAAATAACTTTAAACGAAATCGTGGGAAATTTTTAAAATGTCGTGGACGTGGAATATACCTTTAAATAAATTTACATCAACTATTACGTCACACATGGCATATCACAAAGAAACAATTAATGTATTTCTAAAAAATTGTTTAATATTAATTCGTGATATTCACCTATCGTATGTTTTATTATTTTTTATTTTTATTATTTTTTTTTTACTTTTGTTCTCGAAAACGAGACGGATCGACAGAAATCGGAATTAGAAAAGAAGGAACTAATCGATAAAAAGGTGAACGCTGGAGACCTTTACAGAACTCTCTTCAAAGAGCGAACCCGCCATCCCTACTACGCCACAATAGACTAGTCCAGGCAAGCTAAGAATCAGTTTCGATACTTCTGATTGGTGAAAGTGCTATGTTCTGGCTACCTTCCAACCGAACCTAACGTGAGGCTTTTTAAAAGATAAATATTTGATCGTTGTTTAGGAAATTTTAAAAACATTATCTAATTTAGAAATACCACTTTTAATTAAAACACCAATTTCATTAATTAACCGCCCCGAAAAATTTAATTTGTTTTACTAAAATAATATATATATATATATATACAGTATATATTTTTTTTTCCTGTTTTATATTACGCTGTTATTTTAATATTTTATTTTAAAAAAAAATAATAAAATTTCCATATTTTTTAAATATATCCTTTTGATGAACATTTAAATACGTTTTACATGTTTAACAAACGAATATTAAATATCCTATATCCATTATCGCCGTAATTATGAAACCAAGTTAGGGTCGAGTGGAATGACGTGAACAATTTAAAAGGTAAACTCGAAGTAAAAATTATGAATATTTAAGGCGACGGAGAAATATTTTAAAGCGTTAATTATTAAAATATAATTAAAAATTACGTTTTCCTTAACGAATATATTCCCATTTTAAACATTATTTTATTTATACACATTATCCTTCGCCCCCCTCCGCTTCATGCAGGAGTGATAACGAGAATCGAACCTAACCTGAAGAATGTGTGGAAAATAATAATAGAAATGTCGATACAATCCAGTATATGTAATTATAACAAATTAAAGATTCGCCCGAATTTATTTTTTATGCAAATTACCTCTCTTGACATTCGGGTTGACGTTTTACAATATTCGATATAACGTAACAGCGATACCTTATGCAAAGCGATATAAAATTGGTGACTTTTATGGCTCCACGGCAAACTTTGATGCACGATTACCATTTAAATCCCCGAGAAACTTTTCAATTTATTAGAATATATTAACTCATTAGGGAATTTCTGTCGGGTGTACAAATTAGGTTCGAATGGAGTGGCACCCCCCTGCGATAATACGAAATAATCTAAACAGTGTAAATATTTAAAGTTGCAGAAAATATTCGGAGTATTTATTTCGTAAGATAACATCGAATTGTTATCGAATATTTTGGGGGAGTTGGGAAAAATTGTTTAAAATTTTAATGAAAATTCGATAGGAATGCTAGTAAAATTGGTAATTAATGAGAGCGCGCCGTTCACCCGATTCTAATCTTTAATAAACCAATGTTTAGAATACAAAATAAAACATCTTGCATAAACAATAACAAAGGTTCCTGGCCGCGAATTTTAATAAAAATATATTCACGAAAATCCACCAATAAAAATTCACCTTTTATAGTCCCAGTAATAAGAAATATTCTTCATATAATTTGATTGATCTATTGATTCTTACGTTTTTCACAATCGATCAATAATAGACAGCAGTGTCAGTATGAAAGAGGAGAAGAATTATGAAAATTTTCTATTTAAAAAAATTTTGGGGGATATTTTAATGAAAAAGTATCGTAGAGAAGGAGTAGAGAGAGAGAGAAAGAGACCTTTACTTTCTCCTTTCGACAATAATTTTTCTTTATTCAAACCAACATTTTTTTCTAATTAATAAGAAAAAATAATGTGTAACATAAAAACTATTCTTGCAAATAATTATCAGAAAAAATTCTGAATACAAAAAAAAATGTTATACACAAGAATTCGCTCAATATTTAATGTAATTGGTCCGTGACTTATTACGTTTTTTGAAACTGCCCAATGGTGTTGTTTTTAACGATTTTCGAATTCTGAAACTGAAAACACAAAAATAAAAATTGTCTTCGGCTCTTTCATTGGTTTAATATCTCCCCCCTTCGTTTTAAAAAATTATTTTTCTTTAAAATTCAGCCAACAGAAAATTGTTTTTCTCGTGTATTAAAAATTCTAGAGTACGTAAAAGTTGAAATTTAAATTCGAGAATTACATTGGTCCATTTCGAAAAACGTAAGTCATCCATGACCAATTATGTTTTTCGAAAATCCATCAAGTTTTTTTTTTAATTATTTTCAAAATTCAAATTGAAAACAAAAAAATCCAATATGGAGCCACGATTGATTTAATTTTTTTTAATATTTGAATTCCAAAAA